TGGTAGAGGACCCGAGATTGAGGAAGACACATACCACCCATAGGGGTGAGAGGGGATTTTTGTTTTTTTTATAAAAAGTAAACAATGAATGAAAATACCCAAGATACCCTGATTATTGCCAATACAGCTCCCAGGGAAAGGTAGAAAGAGAGAAAGAATGTCACATCAACCCACAATAGCCTTCCCCAATCTGGTGTTCTTCAGAGGACCGTATCGTAATTAGGGGCAAGAGTGGTTATAGGCCAACTCTTGAGCATACCTGTTAAGAAAAGTTGGCCTATGGCAGCAAAGGAGACTGTCTGTGACCACCCAGACGTCGATGAACTAGAACTCCCAGCACCTTCTTCACCAGTGGCCATTATGGTAGGGTTTTGAGAGCTGGGCTTCAGTAATATCTAAAGGGCTACAAATTCCCTACAGAATTTCTGAATAGCATGGCTGTTCTCTTACAGAGATGCAGTGGAAGGAAAAGACAGAAAAACAAAAAGAAAACAGGAGCAATAAGAAGATGCAAAGGAAAGGCAAAATGAAGAGAACCAGAATTAAAAAATACAACATACAGTGAAAGCAAGACAAATTCCAAATGAAAGCTAATAATTCTATAAGAAATTCCTTCAGTTTGGCTGTCTTGTACACTTAGCAGCAATTTAAGGGAAGAATGCTGACATCTGGTGGCTATTTATTTTCACAGACTCCATTGAAGATGCATTTTAAGATCACTTAAAATACACAAAACCTCAGAAATGCCTTTTAAATTTGTAGTCTGTTATAATCTTCTCTAATGAGAATGAAGTAGCTTGCTTCAGACAGTTAAAGCCAGCAATTTTTTATTTTTAAAATTGTTTATTATTGCTGTTGTATTTTTATTTTTAGAGAGAAGCATTTTCAGGATTTTTTGTCAGTGGTGGCAACATTATTTAGCCAACTTCAGATACAGCGTCTCTAGCTGGTGCAGAGAAGGGGGTTCCTGTTCCCCCTCAAATAGCAAAATTCCACTATCTTTGTGGAAAGAATAGCATGTTTCTGCCATTTTAAAACCATAGGAGAAAAATATCTAATCTGGACACATGCATGCAGGTAGAATTTACATGGGCCTTCCTTAACTTCATATCTTTTGGATAAATTGGACTATTATTTTCATAATTCCCAAACAACATGGATGGAAATTATGGGTTGTAGCTCATTAATGTTTAATGGGGCTTATTAATGACCTTTGAGGAGACTCCAGAGGAGGCCTTCCTGTAGCTCCAGCAGCTGCATGAAGATATCATGTGCTGAGCTGGCTCTGACTATGAGAAACAACCTTCAGAAAACATGTTGAGAAAATAGACAAAAAAATTATGTGCCCTTGAGGTTAGTTTGGCATTGATACAATAATGTAGCCTTCCCCCAACCTGGTACCCTCCAAATATTTTTGACCCAGCACATCTGGAGGCAGCAAGTTGGAAAATACGGCTGTAATGTTTTTGAACTCAGATTTGTCTTGCATACATGTAAGAGGCAGAGGAATTTTTCTTGGATCAGTTGACATTAAAGCATTGTATAACATGCTAATTATACCATTCTAACTTCCCATAGTCAGCTGCTCAATTAGCAAGAAGTTGTTAGTTTAAACTACTTCTGTGACACTTTGTTAAAGCAGCAATGTCTGTTTAAAAGTCTGAATTAAAAAGATAAATCTTGATTCTTTTTGAAAGCAATGAAGAAAAAGTACTTTCCTGGACTTTACAAGTCAGGATATCCTCAAAAATCTCCTTTAGCAGATTTCAAAATGTGGCAACAAGAAAGATAGTCCCTTAGATCAGTGTATCTCAACCTCAGCAACTTTAAGATGCATGGGCTTCAGTTAGTTGAAGTCCACACTTCTTAAAGTTGCTGAGGTTGAGAAACACTGCCTTCGATAGCCAATGATTAAGCTGGTTATAACTAAAGTTTCCAGATGATCCTTGTAAATGGAAATTACATTTGTTAATATTATCTTCTTCAGAGTGTATGATATAAGAGGCTAGTGAGATAGGCGGTGATCAAATTTAAAATATAAATAAATAAATAAGCAAAATAAACTCTGTTCAGGGGTGATACAGCATGCTAAACATGACTTCCTTAAATATGGTTTATGAGATCAAACACATTTTTCTGGGTTGATGCAATATGCTAAGCCATAAGTCATAGGTAGTAACCACAATGCCTAGATTCACGCAAATATGAAGCCCAAACCAGGCAAACCATAGTATGCCTTGTGTAAAACCAGTCTCTCAGTATCTTGTTGCATCTCAACAGACCTGAAAGAATCCAATGACTGCCACCTCAGCTCCATCAATGAAGGCTGCAGTACCTGGGACATCTTCCAGAAGCACAGGCTTCCTCTCCTCTTTGGCAGTACCTGGAGAAAATAGAAGGAAAGTGCTGTTTAGTCAGCATCCTTTTATAGCCAATTTCTGGCCATTGTCATAACTACCTGCTTTGAATGTTCATATCAGCAAATCTTCATCTGCTGGACAACCTGTTTTTTCACATATTTGTTTTTGAATATTGTCTGGGAATAACCAGTAGATAAAAATGCCCATCTTTTCTGGTTCGGTTGCCAACCTGCCATGAAGCAAGATCCATTGCGGCACAGAGCAACGTATTCTTGGTTAAGGTACTTGATGTTTAAAATTCCACTTCTCAAGTAAGGCCTAAAGCCACCTGATTCTGCAGGTGGGAAAACCAGTTTGCTCCTTCTGGTTTTTAAGGGACAGATGATCTGAGAGATGACTAGCTGCATTTAGGCTTCAAGCCCTATTCATGACTGATATATTTCCCCCTACTGTTTGTTTTATGCAATTGCATTTTATTCTACTCAGGGATTTTCTTTTTTCAATAGAAGACCAAGACATGAATTGCTTTACTATGATCCCTGGTATTATCTCCCATCATGAAGAACTGAGGGTGCTGTTTGAATGATTTCATAATAAATAGTAACTTGGAATGAAATAAGTAGCAATTTGGTTTATGGTGATCTCACCTGATAATATGGATGAAAAAGATCAGTCTGTACTACAGTCTCTCTTTGCAAGGCTTGCTAGGAAAACCATACTTTTGATTTTCCCCGAGATGTTCCTAATCTTCTTGTGTGTTGAGAATTATAGTGTTTTAGGTAGGAGCTGAGTTGCTGCCGTCTAGAGCAGCATTCCCACGCTGTCCCTCAAATCGGTTACCCTTCCTTAATCCAAACTAGCATAGCCATGCTTACTGCAGGTGATGGGGGTGGGAATCCAATACCTTTGAAGGGCACCAGCTTCAGAAAGCTGATCTAGATGCTGCTCTCTTTTTCTCCATTGATATGGCTTCCTAGACTACCCCTTTTTCTAAACTTGAAACAGGTTTGCTTACCTTCAGATGAAGAGTTTTTCTCTCCGGATCCTAGCAGGAACACACCACTGAGGAAAACTATAAGAAAAATATGCAAGATGAAGTTTTCCATTGCTCTGACCTTCTTTTCTGTTTGCGAGCGACTCCTGTTTTGGGCAGGAAAAACAGTTTCAAGAACTGTCGCTTAATCACGTGACGGCTCCAAAAGCTGTGGGAGTGAAACAGTTGGGAATGGCCACCTGTACCTTTCTTTTCTTCTGATAAGAAACTAGTGGGGCTATAAGCTCCCAAATGTTTCCTTTCATGTAGTAAATTTCATTATTCCATTTGTAAGACAAGCTCTGTTTTCACAGCTTAGCAGATAAAACACAAAAACAGTAAACTACAGGTAAGTTAACATAGACAGAACTCTGCTGTATATTTCTGTACAACCAGGGGACCCTCAGCTAGCATTAAAATCATTTTTAGCAAGAGCTCATTCAATTAAAAAAATCAGTATTGATTTTGAATTGATTAAATCTTCATATTGTAATGAATTCTGACCCCTTCTTCGTCCTTGCTGAGGCACAGAAGAGACGTTCCTTCCTTTATAGGGAAAGAAACCTTCTCAAAGCTCACATAGGAAGAGATAGTAGCATATTTTCAAACATTACCTTTAGAACTTCATACTAAGAGACTAGATACAAATATTCTAATTATAAAAGTTAAACCACCAATTTCATTACATACATATTTTTAACTGAAACAAAAATATTTTCAATTGGCTAAATATTGCAGTCCTATTTTATTAAGTGTCCTTTGTTTTCTGGCCTTTACTAATATTACCCACAGATCTTATGGACTGGAATTCAAACTTAGAGAATCTGGAAAATCTTTTTCCTAAAAATTTGTTTTTGTGGCTGTTTCATTTAACCTTTCTTATCGCGTGCACACTTTTCCTGCACCACCTCCCATCCTTGTGATTTTAGGTTTCTATGAAATGAGCAGTGCTTTCTGTTATAGAATCTCAGTAATTTCTGCCTAGTAGACAGAATAACATTCATAAAGGGAATATTCTTCAGGTTGTCTTATTCATTTTGTTCATTAATTCTGTGATTCTGAACATAGCATTAAATCATCAGCTAGTCCTTGTATCACCTTACCACACAGATCAACAACCTTGTGGGACACATACATCCCCTACTCTGATTTTGCAGCCCCCCCCCCAGACACATCCAAGATCAAACTTCAAAATCCAGAGCAAATTGTTGATTTTCTGTGGCAAAACAATTCATATTTCAGAGGAGAAGATGTTATACAGATGCACTAGCATCCTGCAAAGAAAACTCCCAGCCAAAAATTTTGGCCCCATAAGTCCAGGGATGCCACTGGCCACTTAAAAAAAAGGGCGCCCCCCCCAAGCAAAAAGTACTGCCTACACCTGCCTACACATACAAGATACCACACATATACTGATAACATAGCCATATTCCTCCCTCTGTACAATCTACTCCTCATGATACTCTGAGACCGATTCATTGGTAATTCCCATTATGTTCTCTATAATCCTAATCACTACAGGTCTGCTTATGCCCTAAACTATTAAAATTATTCAAGAAGAATAAGGTGCCTGGATCTGGTGGGGGTGGGGGGTGGCAAGTAGAATTGAGGTTTGACATTCCTTATGTGCAAAGGGCAAAATAAGTCCGTGTATTATGAGAAACACAAGAAGCTCACTCTGAAGCAAAGGGCAAAATTGGCTTTATTTTCAAAGACATTGAAATCTTTACAGGCCAGGTCAGGAACTGTATCTCATATTACTTAAGACAAGGCTTCGAAATGCAGCTTTGGGAAACAAATTTAAACAAGACAATATCCGCTGATAGACAGATCTTTTCATGTAATGCAAGGAGAAAAGAGAAATTCCAAAGCCAATTCTCTTTCAGTCAACTGACGTGCCCTGATAGCAAGTGGTTTAGGTTGGTGACTGTGTATCTTCTGACCAAAGGCACTTCAAGAATTGATCCTGTACAACCAGAGAAATGCTTTGTCCCTGTTGATTTTTGTGTGATTATTTTCAAGGTAGCAGGAGGAGAGACAGAGTCTATCCAATGGCCTGTATTGGCTAAATTTATTGTGACAATAAAAGGGTTGGGTTATGTGGAAGAAGCATGGCATGCAAGTGCCAGAAACTGACACACTTGGAATTAGCACAAGCAGCAGTAGGAAACAAAGAGAGAAAACCAGATAGAACTCATTCTGTCCATTCCTTTTTGATAGCCAAGTTCCATTCCCAGGTGAGATGGTTGTGCTTATCATCATCAGTGAAGAAAGACTTATTGCAGTAGTTTCCTCGGGCCACAAGGCCCTTTGGCGCTTCCTCAAGAGGGGTCATGAATTCATACTCTTCTGGCCGCGGCCCATAGCTGCCCACCATGAATACAGCCTTGTCCACTAGGAGAGAACAAGCCATAAGAAGACAGTGTATCAGAAGATAGATCAGAAATAGGATAGAACACAAAACGTGAATGATTTTAAAATGTAACACAAACATTTAATGTAATCGTGACTGCAGTTTCCCACCACCTGGATGGACTTCAGGTCCTATCATCCCCCAGTAAAGTCATCTGCAGGTGCTACTGCAACCCACTTCAGAAACCAGCCCAGAAAGGTATTTGGGACACACTTTCATTAACCTACAGTATATTCAGTACAATAGAGAATAGCAACAAGATAGCATCCCCTAAACCTCCAAAATGTATTTTTTAAAAATGCTCCAAATCTTACAAGATTATTAAATATTTCCACATTTCAGTGTTCTCACATAAGTTTTTAATTTCAATTTCCCTGGAGATAAAATGAGAAAGTTATTAAAACTTGACCACTCCAAAGGGCCATGAGAGTGGATTTGCTGTGAGTGGAGAACCTCCAGTTTTGAGAATGTGTTTTTTGCTTGATTATACCTTTGGGGTGAAGGTTTATTGAAATTGTTTATTTTACATTTTTTTCTTTTTTCTGATTTCCTTTGGGTTCTTACAATTTACTGTTTTTAATCTTATTGTAAGCTATGCAAGTCTCTTAAGAGTCTTATATAAGCAATAGTCTGATTGGTATATACCGTAGGTAGGTAGGTAGGTAGGTAGGTAGGTAGGTAGATAGAGCTAACTAGCTAACTTGCTTGCTTGCTTACTTTTTAGGCAATTAAAATTAGTATAGGAAAGACATGGCCCAAGTAAGCTCATGCCCTCTGATGTTACACATACAAGAGAACTTTTTCTTTCTGATGTCTGAGCACACCATGTGAATGTCTACAGGAAAGGGGCTTTCAGGCATCCAGCTATATGTCCAATGGCTTCCATGTAAATAGAAATATCGACAGAACAATTTCTGCTCCTGTGGATACCAGTCTCTGTATTACAAAAAGATCTCCAGGGAAGGACCACTTTACCTCACTTTACCTCACTATTCAGCACAACCACATCAAGGCGATTTTTGAAAGAACACCCAAGCAGTATACTTATAGCAGTATCATCTACAAATACTGAAAAGAAGAAAAATGATTTCATTTACTCACCTTTCACTCCTTTCCGGTAAGTGTGCTGCACATATTTCAAACCAGATACAATTTCTTTGTTTACCTGCAAGAGAAAAAACAGTCCACTGAGTGAGGCAATTCAGCTCAAGTTTTCAGTGCCCTTAACAATAACAATTCTGTCTTTTATTCCTGGTTTCCTGCTTCCCTTTTTGTGACTCTTCCTGCCATCCCTCTTTTGGTCTTTTTTGGCAGTGGGATATGGTAGGGAGAAAACACCATTCCATGAGTACAATAAGCAATTCATTCATTTATTATTTCAGTTTATGATGCCCCCGATTAGGTGACCAACCATCAAACCCAAAATTGAAAATACAGCAAAAGGTAAGTTGAACAGCCCAAATCATCATACACATAACATTAAAGGCGTAGCTAAAAAAGACTATGTACAGTAGTTCAATTTAAGATTGGTTCCCACAGCAGCTATGACATGTAACACCAAATCTTCAGCTACTTTTTATGTTGCACCAATGAGTGAAACTACTGGCATCTGTTTATGAGACATTTACCATTTGAGTTAATGTAAATCATCAGTGGATGTGAAATGCTACATCCAGCACAATTAGCAGTTGTGTTTGCCCAATTCTGGTCGCTCCTCTTTAAGAGAAGCAGGAATTAAAGCAGTTTTCAGCAAAGTGGCTTATCAGTAAAACCACTTCTGCATTTTGCCCAGTTGACACTCTCTGTTAAGGAGCACCATTTTACATTTCGGTGGTCAAACAAAGGTTTCAGGGAAAGGCATACTTCTGAACAGGTGTTTAAAGACAAGCAGTTGGATATATTTAGGATTAAATGTATTTGAAAAGAACTGATATATTTTGGGACAATATACTTACTAATGATATTTGTTTTGATGCACTGTTCTGAAATTTATTAATGGATTTGTAACTGGAACAATGATACATATTAAGCTAAAACAATAAAAAAGCCCATTTAAGAAAAGTAATGAAGTTCATGTTTCTGTTTTTCTGTTTCTAATTAAGCTGCATAGGGAAAAATTATAACCTTTTATCAGTTTTGCTGCACAATATATTATCACATAAGGGTAATATATGGTTTCATTTAAATTTATTTTGTCTTTAGTGGAAGATAAATAATTAGTCCAGCTAAAAGAATTAAAGAACACAAGATTCAATGGGAACACTTTCCTTTCTGCAACAATCTGCTGTTGTGCCTATAGGCAATGCAAACTTCTTATTTTGGCTAATGCTTTATTGTTTAAATTGTCAAATGTGACACAAACCAACAATGTACACATTTGCATTAGAAAAGTCTGTAAAGATATGCAGAAGTGGAAATGAATCCAGCTCTGGAAAATTTCTATAGGAAAGTCACTCACTTTGAAGTGGATCTTGACTCTGTATTCAGCTCCTTCCTTTAATACAAAGAACTCTTTCTTCAAAGCTTCAAGGTCCTCTGGAACAGGGAAAACATCTTAATAAATCATGCTCAGAGATGCAGAAGAGAACCCCCTTCTTCCCATGGATTCACTTGACTGCTGCAAGTTGGAGGACTGTGCCTATGCATTAGCAGTGGTGTGCTGGTACATGTTGAACAACCAGCTCTGCTGGTCCCAAACAGCTGATAGCCGTACTAGGCATGGTACTCAGCTCTGCTCTCAACCGGCTCACAACATTTCAGAACACCAGTTCTCACGATCTGATATGAGCCGGCTCCAGCACACCACTGCATATAAGCATATCTGTGCTGCAAACTTATGTCAATATTACGCTTGTTTTGAGCAGCACATGGTAGTTTAAAAATAAACAAACAATAAAGAAAATAGCTTCCCTCAAAGGATTCCAGAAATTACATGAAAAGAGGCCAAGGCTTCTTTGTTCTGCCTCCCTACTCCTTCACTGCAACATAGTGTTTTTCCAAGGAAACAGAAGCTACTCTTTTATTTTTAATTTATGAAATGTATTCTTTAGATATACCATACAGGTATCTAATACCTAACTAGCCCATGAACACGCAGAGTTGAAAGTGCATGCATTAATGAACCGTAAATGTCTATACCTGTGAATCTGTGCATATGGGCACCCTTGTGTCATTCCAATTAACTCAGAAACTATGCTCCAAATGCACTGGAAGCATTCTTGCACAACTATCAATGAAATGCATAAGATTTGTGTAAGTGAAAGCTAGCAGCAGACAAACAGGTTGTATAATGTGTCACTATCAACAAACCGTTTGTGGTATTGCTTCCCTTGGAGATTTCAGCTAAAGAGGAAGCATCTGTGCTTTGCTAAGCTATGACTTCCTCTCTTATCAACCAAGGACCCATATAAGGTAAACTGACTATTTCTTGCTGATGCTAAACTCCTAGGAACACAGGCTATTACTCAAGTATGCAGAAGAAATTATTTCTCTGGTGCTCTGCCAACAATGAAGAGATCTGAGCAGGCAGCCTTCTGGGTATACTTGAACACACTAAAAATTCAAGCTGTGAGAAAGTTGACTATATCTACTATTGCAATATTTTAGTCATTTAGTTAATTTATATTATATATCCTCTCAGCATACAATTCAGGACTGTGTACAATTAAAACAGCAATAATGCTATAAAAATATTTATTATGCCAGAGGCATTTGAACAAAGATAAACATTCCAGATGGGTTCACAAGACCATCTGACCCAATGCCTGGAGGAAAAGCTAGATCTTCAAGGTCTTATGAAAGGCAGGAAGGATCAGAACAATCCAGTTCTCATAACATGTCTTAAGAGATGAGACATGGAGCATGTCAACTCTGTTAGATCTTATCAAACAGATAATCAGAGACAAATGGTCCCACAAAAAACTAGGCCCTGTGCCATTAAGGGCTTTAACAGTGATAACTAGCACATTGAATTACACCCAGAAGCCTACTGACAACCAATGCAGCTCACAAAGTAACAGCATTATATAGGCATGCCAAGTTAAGCCCATAACTATCCATGCCAATACATTCTGGACCAGCTGAAGCTTCAGAGTGGATTTCAAGGACAGCCACACACACTAATCAAAAGGAGAGATGATCAAGGCATGAGTGACTGTGAGTTGAGCTTCCCCATCTAGAAATGGGCACAAGTGATGCACAAGATAGATTTCTGCAAAGGGCCTCTGAATCATGGCTTCTACCTTCTCTTCAACAGGTGTCATGAGTTTAGAGGATCCTATCCTGAACACTCTATCTGGCAGAAAGCAACCCCATTCAGAAACAAAGGTGAAAAATCTCCAGATTCAACAGGCCTCAAAATCCACAGCCACTTTGTCTTACTAGAACTGAGCCTGAGTCTGTTACTCCCCAGCCAGAACCCAGAACCTCCAGACACCAAGTCAGTGACTTCACAGCATTGCTTGAACAACTAAGGACTGAGATGTATAATTGGGTATCATCAGCATATTGACAATACCTAACCCTATGCCAGTGGATGACCTCACCCAGCAGCATCATGTAGATGTCAAACAGCAGGGGCAGAACAGAATTGGTCCATGAAGCACCTCACCCCAAAGAAGAGTCAAGGGTTGGACCTCTTCCCCCCATCAACACTGACTGGAACTGACCCTGGTATCAAAGCTGCTGAGAGATCAAGAGTGCCAGGATAGATGCACCACCACCACAATCACCCATCCTGGTCCCACAACAATTCATCCACAAGCATGATTAATGCCACCTTAATATTGTACCCAGGCCTAACCCAGACCGAAAGGGATCCAGATAATCCATTTCTTCCAGAGTCCTCTGAAGTTGCAGCCCAAATATCTTCTCTCCAATCTCCCCTACCCCCAAAAAGGAGGGTTGGAAACAGGTCAAAAATTACTCAACACTGTCAGGTCCAGCAATAGCTTCTTGAGGAGGGGACAGACTACTGACTCCTTAAGAGCAGGGGGAACAAGTGACCAGCCACATGCCACTTCCCAAGAGGCCTTGACAGGCATGGATCTAATAATCAGGTGGTCACACTGACAGCTCAAAGAACCCTGTCCTCTTCCTTGGGATCAACAGGCTCAAACTCTTTTGCCATTTTGTCTTCCAGAGTTCCTCTGAAAAGCAGGGAACCCTCTGGGATTCATGTACAGAGAGAGGCCACATATGCACATAGGGTCCAATCCAGGGCTACAGCCACCCTCTCATTCCAAGAGGAGACTAAGACTTCAGTTGAACTAGGTACTAGATACTTAGGAACTTCCCCAAGCACTCTCTGAAACCCAGTGGGGTCCATCAGATGCCTGGGGCAAACTACTGTGTTTCAGAGAGTGCTTGGGGAAGTTCCTAAGGTAGCCATGAACTCCCAAGCCACATCAGACTCTGTACCCAGGGAAGGCAGAGGGAAGTCTTTCAGTACCATAAGTCTAAGAAACTCCACTGTCAACCCAGCCACAGCATCATACAGCTCAGAAAGGGAAGCCACAACACGGCAAGGAGGCTGGTAGCAGCAATCCCATCTGTTCTCTAGAACCCAGCTTCACAAACAGGATCTTACATCCAGTAATCTGTGGAGAAGTGCCTCTGAAAGCCATAAGATACTTCCAGACAACAATCTCCATCCTCCCACCCCTACCCTGGGACATAGCTGGTGCCACACTCAAAACCCAATTGGTAACATTTCTAAGAGCCCCCCTCCCACCCACCAGGTCTCAGTAATACATAACAGGCTGGCTCTCTTAAGAGCCTTATTACAGGCTGATCTGTCATTAAGCAGCAACAGCCTGAGCCTGGGACCATTGAGCATACAATATCCAGGCACTGGGGCTAAGCCAAAGGGGCTAGAAAGCAGAATTGGTACAAGCCACTAAGTGCACCTTCCCAGAGAGTAGCCCACCCTGCTTCCTACCTTATCTCCCTCTGCCCTTCACTCCTGAGATGTTACTGTCTGCCCCACCCTCAATCAAGCCAATGCCATCCTAATCTTGCCTCTCTTCCCCAGGTCCACGGATCCCATCCAACATCCATGTGTCACCAACTAATCCCAGACTAGGTGACCAACCATCACAGACACACCACCAACTATAGAATGTTATAGTTGGAAAGAGCCCCAGAGATCATATGATGCAATCCCCTGCTCAATGCAGAACCTTTATGCAAAATGCAACTTTAGCATCCCTAACAGATGGCCATCCAGCCTCTACTTAGACACCTCCTACACTTTGTTAGTTCTTTTTAAATTTTACTTTTCATTCTTTTTTGAAGTAGGAAAGAACCCCTGGTGGCCAGAGGAAATAAGAACACTAGAGCATTAGATAGGTTAAGGGCCAGAAGTCCGCAGTTCAAAACTTATACTGCCTGGAATCTCAGGAAACAGGCAATAAGCTGTTTCTAAGATTCATCACACTCTGCCCCCAGCCCATCTGCAATTGATATAAATGAGCAAAGGCTTGAAACATCTTCCTTATAAGGAAACAATGGAAGATTTAAGATTTTTAATTGGTTGTGAGGAAATGAATACAGGAATCTGCTAGAAGCTCATATAATTACATAAACTAGACAAACAGAAAGGTTTACTTTTCTCTCATAATCACTAGGACTCAGACCAACATAATTAAACTGGTTGATAATGGATTCAAGACAGAGTAAAGCATCCTTTACATAATAAACAAATTCACTGCCACAAGAGGTACTTGCTCAGAGCCAATGAAAGTGGTGGCTTAAGGTATTAGATTAAGAAATTTGCTGAAATTCAGCAGTGCACTTTTGGACTATATTTTAGATAGTGGTTTAAGGGGAAGAATGGTACAGGCCAGGAGATTACTCACTCTCATTCCTGCCCTAAATTCCCTCCCTCCAACTGTCCAAGAATCTCATGCTCCTTCAGGTTATATCACTGAATCACCAGTTGACCTTCTGTAGTCTTCCAGAAGCTCAAGAGACTGAACTGCACTCTCCAATCCCACAGAAATTACCCATCCCAGTCTTACTTAACATTCACAAAACCAACTTCAAAATGAAACAAGGCCCAAGGATTCCATTCATCCTGCTATATAATAAGAAGAGAATGTTACCTACCAGTGAGGTCCATGGTAATTGGTCCTGGAGCACTGTCACATACAAGGGTAAGCCGAGTGACAGTCACATTAGGAATTGTTGGGTCTGTGGTGTCAGGAAAGGGATAAACAGTTTATTAACCAAACAGCGAGAAACTTGGGATGGCTTTCATGCCTTTTAATAAATTTTAATGCAAAATTTATCTCCCTAAAGCCTTCCTGTGCACAGGAAATTAGCATATCACTTGATAGCTAAGATTTTTTTTTTTCTGATACACTACTACTTTCCGACATGCAGGGAAATTCAATCATGCCTTGCTGTTCCCACTCCCACCCACAGCAGAGTGACAGTAACATTACCTCTCTTCTAGTTTGTTTGTTTGTTTATTTATTTAATAAATTTATATGGCTGCCCATCTCATATACATGACTCTGGGCAGCTAACAATTAAAACAGAATAAAAACACAATAAAAAATACAACCAACCAATAATTAAAAACATAAATAATATGACACAGCATAAAACAGCAGCTGAGAATAATCAAACATCTTCCAAGAATAGATGTAATTAAATAAGTAATAGTCAATAAAACCAACAAGTTATATGAGTTGTATGAATTTCTTTGCTGAAATATAATCCAGGGGCAGTAACTTAATCATGCTTCAGGTTCTGTTGCTAACTTAAAGCATTAATAGTATGAATATGTCTCAGTTAATTTGTCCATACACTAAGAAATACAACCATGAGACTGTGGAGTCCTTGGGGTTCTCTGAGCTTGGTTCTTTTCTTGCAAACATTT